GTTTACTTATTCGAATTACGCTCGCAGTCCTGGAGAGTGAATGACCTGACATGGTGCATTCGTAAATTCAGTCTGGTGCTCTACAATAAAATGAGAGCCCTGTTGGACGAAGACAAGGTCGCGTTATATTTCTATATGAGTTAACGAACAGTTAAGGTAATCGCACATTCACTTCACTTGGTGCTCTGCCGCTCCGTCTCCACAGACAGATTGCTCAGAGTGCACTCTGCCGCTCTGAGAGTCCGGTGCTCTGGATAGCTGAACAGTTCATTCAGACAGCGCTCTGAATTTAAGAACAGTCCACATATGGACATATGGAATGGGTATTTCTGAACGCACTAGTGTCATTATCTTCCTCCATTGTCTTAGGCTCTGTTTAGACGACAACAGTTTCTCTAAAAATGGAAAAGTCTGTCCTTTGGTTTTAAAATACTTCTGCGTTTATATGACGACGTTAGTGAAACGATCCCCGTTCAAACGGAGCCGCAAAATCTACTGGAAACGCTGTAGTATGCACGCCAGGCCAATGGGTGGCAGTGTAAATTTGCAAAGCAACACCACGGCATGACGCCATGCGCCTGTGCTGAAGCGCCTTCCTCTACAATGCGGTGATTACAAACCAAAACAAAGAAGACACGCTGGCGAAAGCATGCACAGATAACTTTGTCTGGATGGACGACGAGGTGGAGTTGCTACAGTAACAGATCTACACTTCACTTCAAATCAACAGGGTGAGCAGCACAAACACAGCTCGCCATTGTTGTTGTGACGGTCGACTTTCTCACGCATGCCTAGTGACTGGAACCGTAATGCGCATGTGCGAAAAGTTTCTGTTTTCAGAGGAACTGCATATTGCAAGTTACAACGGAGATGCTGCCGTTTCCAAAAAGTTGCACTCTGGAACCCGTTTTCAAAACGTTGTGTTTTCAGGCACCCAAAACGCCGCTGTCGTGTAAACGGTCGGCCAAAACGCAACTAAAGTTTATTGTTTTCAGTTGAAATAGTTGTTGTATAAACGGGACCTAAAACAAGCCAACAGAACTTGCTAGTTAGCGCTAAATCATGCGGAGGATTGTTTTGCCTCCAGCCAAGACCCGCCCACCAAAAACATCATAGTGTTTACTGACAGTAAAAGTGTCAATAAAGACAGCGGAAACATACCCACCTTATTCCTAGCCCCTACGATACCTTGCGTGAATTATGGGCGCAGTTTTCACCACTCAGTCGGAACTGGTGTGTTCCAGTGGCAATGGTTTGGTAATGGTGCACCTCTCCTTTGTCCTAGAGCGATTGGGAATTTCAGTGTGTAACACAACGCCTGTAACACCTTACTCGGATAATGTGATCATACCTCTGTCATCTGTGACAGCCATCTGACAGCATTGGTTGTTTATGACATTTTACAACGCATAAACAGACACTAACACATTCAGTGAATATTTAACACAATTCAGTTCAATTGTAGCTCCGTGTAAAGTGAATAAACGTGATGTGTTTCCAGCTAATGCTCCACTCGTCTGCCTGATTGACAGTTTACACGTTTATAACTGCTGATTTATTAAAATCGGAGTTGCACTGAGAGAAACATAACACCACATTTAGCAGCAGACTTCAGTCATATTAGTAACATTAAGTAATAGTAGGTTGAGAATGCAGACAGGGATCGACAGAAATGTCTCGCACCAATGTCTAGTGACAAACCTGTCATTCTAGGTGTCATTCTCTTTGCAAATTTTGATTTTAATACTAGCCTGCCATGTCTCGTCAAACTCTTTTGGTTTTATTATTTCTCATGTCAACTGCACTGTTGGTTACAGGAACAATCCCCTTTGGTTCAGGCTGCATGTTCAACACACTGTTGTTGAAGCCACAGATTTAATGAAGCCTGGTTATACAATTACAGACAGTGCAGCAGGTACCAGAGCTCCGCAAACACATTTTACTAAATGCTTAGTTAGGTTTAGACAAATCATAGATCAGTTTGTGTGACTAACCACATTACTGCTACCTTCACTGTCTCACTGGAAGTTGCACCCATAATGATTTCTACAGCAGCGCCCCCAGGAATATGGTAGATAGAGCCATCTTTCTCTTCTTTAATAGGCTGCAGCTATTCTTTGCTACACCAATCAGAAGTGTGAGATGGGGAAATTGCTTCCAATATGGAGGACTAATCCAGCCTTTCTGTGCTTCAGACATTAATGTAGCCTTTTTGACATGATTCACAAAGATGAAAAAAATGCTTGAACATGTAATTCATCCCAAGTTCACGAGGAACTGTGTTCAATTTTAGCTCCCAGTTGGATAAAAGTATTTTCTTTCCTGATCAAGAAAGTTGTTGAACTGTTGACTCTCCAGTGGTTCATCGACAGTTATAGAAACATGGCAGCCGAGAAATCAAAATAGTTTGTAACGTTTAGATGTGAACTCAAACAGATAATCAACTCATATGAGTGCAGGGTTACAGCTGTAAAGGTCCAACAGGTCTGCTAGTGCATTTTTTGTTTTAACCTTAAAGCAGTGAAAATACACGCCTTTGCCCATCTGATCTCGTCAACATCTGGCATCGTGTTATTGTTAATCCTCTGTCTACATCCTCACACCCACAGCCTCCACTGGCAAACCACCACAGAGTCTGGCTCTTATTTTGGGGCCCTTCTGGGTGAAGGTGTATCTATCTAAGGCAATTGGACCACCTAGCTATCCGTGCTTTAGCAGTGCAGTCATGGTGAATGCCCTGCGGACCGTTCTGTTATCTGGGCGCAGTTTCCGCTGTTGTAAGGATTATGGGTATTACGTTCATCAGAGGACTGAGTCTACAGTATCGTTCTTCTTCTCCTACCCTCACTCCCTCCCTCATTACCCTTCATTAGAGAGCAGACTGAAGACAAATCCTCCTTAAGGCCCCCACAGAGTTCTTTAAGGCAGGGCTTATTGTTGGGTCTTGCACGGCAGCCATCTTTGTTTCGGCTTCCTCGCAACCATGAGGGGACCTTGGCACAAGAATTGATGTGAAACAATGAGTTGGAGTACGTTTTTATTTCACTGGCAACAACGTCTCTGTATTGTTAAAAAACCAAAGCAATGAGTTGTGACCCTAAAGCAGTTGATGTGTGTTGAGTTGAGATGCAACACTGCAATAATTCCTTGTCCGCCTGACCAACTAGCTTTGGCTTTAAGCATAAATCCTCTTTGGAGCTGTAGGTGGTACCTTGCTAGATCTATAAAACCTGATTAAATCACTCCAATGCACCTATTTAACAGGGGCAGTGATTTTCAATTACTTCAGATCGTGCGATTGCATAATGAGCTTGATTTCGTGTATTGATTGTTGGCAGGGGGTTATTTTTAGAAGGTTAATGGCTGCACAGCATCACTAGAAGGAAAACACATTTAGGGGATAATGTACATCGAGCGCGCCATTATTAGGAAATGAATCCCAACAGGGTGATGCAGGTTTTTAATCATCCTGAAGGGGTTCAGTTCACGATAATGACTTGCTCGCTGTACGGTATCACACTTATTACACGGCTTCTTAGTTACGAAATTAATAATTGGATGCAAAGTATTTATTTAGAAATGATTGCACTATTTTAAAATGAACTTATAGCATCTGCTATGCATCTGTGATCAGAACTGTATCCATAGCAGTGGTCTGCTATTCAAAAATATAACAGATTACTAACTGGACACGATGCAAACGAGTGTAGTTAGTTAGTTAGTTAGTTTCAGTTTCTTCTCAGCAAACAGGCTAAACAACATGTAGCTTGCTTGAAAAACCACTCACCCTAACTCTGTTTTGGTGAAGCTTTACACATCTCCAACCTACTTTAAGAGCAACAGCAAGCCGTTGCTTCGGCTTGATCGGAGCTCAATGGTCGCTCCTTGTATATCTGGACAGTTTTTCGCACTCCATCCGCCAGAGTGCCATCACTCGATGAATGTTAGGAAGAGGTGTAATGCCAATGCCATAAATGACCAATCAGATTCAAGTGTTCAACAAAGCTGTGTAATAAGTGTGGATAACATCACGTATCATGGTGGCTGGAAAAGTCACAGTGCTGCTACCGTGAAACAGAATTTCAGTGCTCTGTCACCAAGGTGCTGGGGTGCTCTTGCTCTTTCGGAATAAAGCAGGGTTCACACTGGACGCGGAAGCACCGCAAAGCGCACAGATTTCCATGGCGCGCTGCATGCTACCTTTTGGCGCCCATGTTAACCAGCTAGCTAGGTTCTGAACTGGTAGGTAGCGGTCCAAAAGTGGGTTGTGGATCCATTCTGAATTTATGGCACAGAGCTTTTATTTTGAAGTGCTTTTTCCTGCTGTAGAGTGACTGACAGCCCTGACAAGTAGCTGGACAACATGGCCAAACACAAGTATGACACTAAAGATATTAAACTGTGTAGACTTTGAAGTAATGACAAAGGAGAAATCTGGACCCCGTGGCTGGACCAGTTGGGAACCAGCTCCGGGGCCGGCTCACGATCTGCAGCGATACTTTCGGCATCTGGCCTGTTTTTGTTCTAAGGCAAATCTGCCAGGAAGACACACTGATAATCCATTCTGAGTGATATAAAGGATATATTATACATGACATAAGTGATCTGATTCTTATATATGATAAAGTATGCATCCCACGCTTACTTGTACCACGTATTTGTCACGTTTGTCTAAATTAAGAGCGAGAGAGATGTGGACATGCACACGGGCAGATAGAAACAGAGCTCTACATGTTATTAGAAACGAGCAGAGAAGCACATTTGTCCAGTGTGAACCTGGTGTACGACTACCTCAACTGAGCTATTGCTTTTCAAAAAGACAATTTTACTACAGAGGTCAATAAAGAACATTTTTCCACAAAGTCAAAAGAATTCAGTCCCTTCAATGTAGGTTAAAGATGTAGCAGATGTGACTCACTGAAATAAGTCATTGTTGTGTTAGCTGTTTCTGCTCATCTCCACCTCTGACTGGTTATTTCTGCCTTTGTTTGTCATTGCAGCAGCTAAGACCTTGCTCAACAAAAAGGCAGATGTCAAGGTAAGGGTCATCACGTCTTCCTCCCACGTCTCTGCCTTTCACTCCCTCTTGCTTAATTTCCCAGAGATAGAAACTCTGCCTCTTCTTCTCTGGTGTTTTTTCTCTGCTCCACTCCACTCCACTGGCTAATCTCACTTTTGCCCACTGTAGCTCACTTTTTTCATTAATTCTGTGTCTGTCATGAGCTCATTGTGTTCATTTGAATTTTGTTTTAAAAAGCCGCAGCCCTACTCTGGATACAAATCTGTGGACATGTGTCCGTATACATGTGTGTGTATGCTTTTGTGCTTTTGTCAGCCTGCGTGTTGCCTGTCAGAGCTCAAGCCTCAAGTAGCACATCCTTCTGATTCGGCATTATCCAGCTCATTGCCACCTCTCCATCTCCATTATTAAATGTAACCATCTGTCAGCCTCCCCATTTGTTTTTTCATCACTTCCTCTGCCTCTCATCCCTCCATTTCTGCCTCTTCCTCGTCTTTCAGTGCTTCCTATTCCTGCTCACCCCATCTGGTCTTTAACCCCACATTCCAGTTCATCCTTTAATGAAGATCTCTCACCATCCCACACTCGCACGCACACACTGCAGTAACACATCCCACACAAAGCTTCCATGAACGTGTCTGTGTATGCAGCATGTATGCATGATAGTGTGCGACAAAGCTCGGAACGTGGCGTACATGCAAAAGAATGCGTTTGCTTCTCTGCATTGTACATTATGTTTGGTGGAGCTTTGCGAGCGCACACATGGACACACAGGTGTGTGTTTGTTGTTTATGCAAATGTGACTGTGTGTGAATACATCACATTTGTTTGTCGGCTCGAAAAGAGAACGAAAGCACAAATGGGGGCGTGAGCATGCCTGCACATTGAGTGTGCGTAAGCGTGGGTGTCTGTAAGTGTGGTTTGCTCATGTGCGCGTGTGTGTGTGTGTGTGTGTGTGTGCGCGCATGGCCCCCCTCCCCTTTCTCCCTGCTCAGTTGGTTCAGCAGGGAATGTGACTCCAGTTCCAGGAATAGCTGCCAGTCTGGACCCTGGAAACTCAGACGACAGAAATAGACGCTTACTTCCACTGCGGCGCACTCATTGCCTAGCAACAGGCTCCCCACACACTCACCCCAAACCATTTCTAAAGGTGTCTTCTTCGTTTGCTGCCATCCCCGCTTTCCTTCGTCCCTCCCTCTTCTCTTGTTTCTTCCCTCCACATGTCCTTTTGGCCACTCTGACCTCCTCTCCTCGGCCTCTCCTCCTTCTTCCTCTCCAGCTGGTTCATTAACGCGTAATGGCACCTGACTTTTTTCTTTCTGCTGTAACACCTGCTCAGAGCAAGCAGGCAGTCTCTCTCTGGCACTAACTACACACCACCGTCAGCCTCCCATGTTGCCAGCTACTGCCCATAAAAGCCACTCCATTCAGCATTTCATGCAGTGTTGTTGTATTGATGACACACACTGTGTCTATGTTTTTGTTTCTAAAAGATATGACATGTAGCAGGGTAGAATCAACTGAGAAACTGCTACAAACAATCCAACAGATTTCAAATTCACAAGAATACAAAATACAAGTACAAGAGGTTTTGATTGGTCTTGATTGCACCCATGTCCCCAAATGATCCTGGTGATAATTTACTGATGCATAAATTCCACATGTGACAGCTTTACAAGCATTGAGCCAGTTGTGATTTTAAATTTAAAATGAGTTCGGGGAGAATGCTTTTGTATTCTGACCGAATCAATTTTGCATTATGTCTCCATCGTGCTCCTTGGTGCCACAAATGTTCCTGATCTGTTGACAGAAGAAGAGCAGGCCACAGTTTTGTCATCTGCACCACATCTCTGTGATCTGCTTCTCACTCTTATGTCCTCTTCCTGATGACTCCCACTCAAACCACTGCTCCTTTTCCTTGTGCTTGCACCTCCATACTTTTGCAGTAACACTTGAAGGGAAACACTTGTCCTTCATCTGCGTTGTCCAAGCAGATCCTGTTCTTCTGAAGGATTGAAAGCCGCATCGACATCAGAGTGCACAAGTTCTCTTTCTCACTTTGTACCAGTTTCATTCACTTTTGTCATTGGTTATTTTATCTCCCCCTCCCTTCTTCTATCATCCCTTCATCCATCCGTCAATAAATCCATGCATCCATCAATCGCCTGAGGACAGAAACGCAAGTCCAGCTCTACTGTCCAGTATATGGTGAGCATGCTATTTATGTGTTTGCCCAGTGACTCCTTTTTTTTTTTCTTCTTCTTTCTCTCCGCTCCCACTTTCTCCACTCCTGTGTTTGTTATATCCACCTTGCCCTGCCTTTACTCTATTTCATCAGTAGGGTTTAGTTTCCCTCACCTTGCTGAAGAACTAATCTGTGACATAGTGATGCCCAATTCATGAGGCATTTTATTCAAACAGCAGTCAAGTGTCATGTAGGCATTTCCTAGGAATCCTGCTCTGGTGCATAAGAAGTGATACTTTTTTTTTGTAGGGGTGCACCGATTGTGAAATTCTGAGCCGATACCAATGTTTAAAATAAAAACGTTGGTGGATAGCAGAAGCCAATGTTTTTTTGTTGTTGTTCTTTTTTAGGTATAACAGAAGTCTTTATTATAAAAAAAACAACTGAACTGTTTTTAAGTCATTCAGCCTTTCACAACATCTTTAAAAGAGCATACATTCAAAAATAGAAATGTATAAAGTAACCTTTAACATAGCCTCCTTTCACATGAAAAAGAAAAAAAGAACTGCTTCACAGTCCCTTTCTACTACATATACATATCATAACTCCTAAAATCCTATTCATATTGTTGTGGAAATATCAAGAAGTTCGCCCTTTAAACAACTGTATAGAGCAGTGAAGGAATGAGTCCTAAATCCCAGGAATGAGTTAGTATTTTAGCACTCACGGTTCCCTCATCTCAATGGGTTTTTGGTAGGGCTGTAGTCAACCAAAGAAAATCTTGGTCAACTAAAGTCGCACATCATCTTCAACTGATCGATTAGTCGTGGGGGAAAAAAATTGGCAAGTTATTTTTACTTCTGCAGTGGAGGACTGTGTTAAGTGCTGTAAAGTTCAGTTCAAATCAAACTTTATTTATATAGTTGATTCAAAACACACATTAAATATGGCTTAATAGAGACAATTTCAAACACAACTACGCAAATTGGCTTCACTATAAATCGCACAACTGACAGACAAACACTTGTCTTTATCTGGACACATTTCCACCCACATGCTAACGTTATTAGCACAAGCCTATGGCGTTTTACATTGTATAAATTAGCCTAGCATCTAGCGATCTTTTCCTCTTCTCATATAAAACCAGGGACAACAGCAACATGTAACAAAGGTAACGGCACTCAATGTGGCTCCATTACAACTAACAACATTCACCAACAAAACAGCTGTATTATACTAAACACGTTTTCCAAGCAAATACAACATGCTAACGTTTTTAGCACAAGCCTATGGCATTTTACATTGTATAAATTAGCCTAGCGACGAGATTTCCTCTGCTCAAATGAAGCCAGGATAAATCACACATGACTTAAAATGCCATTTTAGTGGAGGCTTTACTGTCCTCACAATTTATTGTTTCTTATCTGTGAAGTGCAAGTAAATACAAGCTTCGTTTCCACTGAAGGAAATGGTTTCAGCTTACAGAAACAGACAGAAGGTCTGCGTCACCGCGACGCTGAGCGTGAGGGTGGGCGAGTTCAACTTTCTGTCAACAAAGGGTGGGTTTTGAAAACACCCCCATTTTCACAGGTAACTTAGCCTGTCCCCCCTGCCGCAGGAAATAATGGATTAATCCTGGAAAGCTGTTGATGTAGCACTTTTCTCCTTATGAAAGTAACACGGCGATTATTCAACTAATGAGAATTTGGTCAGATGAGAGCATAGCGACCAAATAATCGACTAGTCGACCAGGAGACTGCAGGCCTAGTTTTTGGTTAGATGCCTGAAATAATGTCTGTGGTTAACACAAGCTTAAGAGATTCAGGTTGTGTTGTATGACTTAAAATACGACGGTAATTACCCCATTTGTGAATTTTAAAGCCTTTAAGTGTTGTTAAGTAGGCATTTAGCTAATAAGTGGATAAATGAGACTACAGACTGTCATCACGCCAAACACAGCTTTACAGCCTCGTTGTGGTGGCGACGTTAAGTCATGCAACTGCAGTGTAGTTCGTTTATTGGCCAACATTGGCGTTTTACTTTTACTTAGCATTAATGAAGATTATCTTGCTGAACAAAACACGTAAATGTCATAAACTTTTGTTTGCCACAGAGGTTATTCTCTCAATAATCCAAAATTCAATAGAAACATACCATCTGCTTTTGACGAGGGAACCAGGGACCTGCTAACTTCCGGGTCGGCCTACAAAAAATATTCAAGTTTCTTGCCAAAACTTAAATTTTACGAGATAAACAAATGCAATTTCTGTTAGCCTTTAGTTCTGGCCACCAGCTGCTAACAGCTAACGCTAACTAGCTCTCCTCCTGCTGATATCAAAATGGATTTGTTGTTCACCTTGTTGCATTATCAGGGAACAAATAGGGTGCGTCTCCTGATACGTTGGTGGTGAGTTAACAGGGTCTTTTTGTCCCGGAGGCGTCCCAGGGAAAATTTTGATGTGACACAACAGAAAAACATTGGCCAATGCCATCAGTGAATGCCATCTTATTTGCAGATAGGTCGATGGCAGTCAACAAGGCGAATATCAGCCAATCCTGATATATCACCCACAAATTGGTGCATCCCTATGAATTTTACATGTTGGCAACAACAGCAGCACCTTGTTAGGACTGACAGAAACTGACAGAAAATAACATATACAGAAAGTCATTGTAAGTCAATGCCAAGGAGAAGTCACAGCTCCGGCCCTTGCAAAGTGCACTGCCATGACTCTAACCCTGTTATGACTCTGAAAGCATAATAGAAGCAGGATGTTTCAGTTCCATCAGAGTTACTCCAGGGATGCTGCTCCAGATCTGTCAGGGGCACACT